CAGAGAGCTGCGTTCCCCCCGGCGCCCGCCTTTCGCTTGAGCGGCCTTCTCGGTTCGCCGCCACCCAGAGGGGATCACCGCTTCAGGGGTCCGTACGCAGCCGGGACCTCGGTCCGCGACCTGGGACCGCCGTCTGGCGGCATCGTGCTCTTGGGCAGGAGCTCGTCGACGATGCGGAACCGGATTGACACCGCCCCTTTGTCGACTACAGCCTTGTCCTTTGACACGAGGCTGGGAAGACGAGGCCACCGCACCCCCCGGGAAGACCTTGCTCCAGCTGTGGAGGGCCGCTTCCGGAGGACTAGGGGAAAAAGCATGTGATGATGAGAATCATGCTGAAAAACCCTGGTGTTGTCCGAGTGTCGCACCGGCCCGTAGGAAAAAAAGAAAAGAAAAAATCCGCGGGCCAAAGGCCGCCCGGAGGTCTTCGAGAGCCAACAGCGCCGGCCAGTCAGAGTGCCACGTCGTCCCGAGCGCCGCATCGGTCCGCGGGAAGAGAGCAAAGCCGCACCGGCGCCAGCCAACCAGGGTGCCACGCCTGAGCAGGTGCGAGCATTCGTTAAAATTCCCAAAAAAAAGTCCGCGGCGTCCGGGCCGCCCCGCGCCCCCACGCGCGAACCCGACCGCCGCAGACGCCGGAAAGGGTGTCGGAGCATCCGCGCGCCGCCGCAGTGACGCCGAAGTCCTCGCCCCGGCACCCGCCACCGTGTGGCAGCCCGGCCCGCGCCGCCGCCGCCGACGGGCCGACGAGGGCTGCCCCGCGCGCACCGCAGGCCGCGGACACTGCGCCGGGGCCGCGGCAACCGCGACCGGGGGCCGGGGCCCGCCGCCCGGGGCGCGCGCAGGGCGGGCGCCGAGCCATAGCATCGGAAAAGAGCAGTGCAACGGACATACAATAGAGAGGTCGTAGGCCTGTGCACATGAGCTCGAGCTTGGTCAACGTTGGCCTCGGCAATTATTGCTTGTACCTCCATCGCGACGCCGCACGGCAGCCCAGCCCCCCGCAGCCCTCGAGCGTCGACCAGGGGCCGTCCGCGGCGCGGCACCCGCCGCGGCCCCCCGCCCCCCGGGGCGCGCGCGACCCCGCGTTCCTGGGCCCGGCCGCCGCGCCATGGTCGCCGTCGGCGCCGAGGGCCGCGCGAAGCTCGACTCGTGCATCGCCCGGCTCGTGGGCGTCAAGGACGACAAGCCGGGCACGGAGGTGAACCTCGCCGAGGACGAGCTCATGTGGATCGCGCGGACGGCGCGCGCGGTCTTCCTCGAGCAGCCCATGCTCCTCGAGCTCAACGCGCCGATCAACATCTGCGGCGACACGCACGGCCAGTACCACGACCTGCTGCGCCTCTTCGAGATGGGCGGCTTCCCGCCGGCGTCGAACTACGTCTTCCTCGGCGACTACGTCGACCGC